TGAACGGAAATTCGGTTTAGGCTATAAGCAAACCGAATCCGAAACGGTTGTGGCTGACCCTGTTTTTGAACCGATCGAAAATTTGGTTCAGTGAAGCGGGTACTGAGTTTGAAGCGAATTTGATGTTCCCAAACACACTCATTCACTTCATTCCAGTCACTCTTACTTTCGTCAATGGCCTTCCCGGGAGCTAAAACAACCAATGATGTTCCTTTTCCATTACATCCCTCGTCATACAGCCAGGATCTCCCTTGCCTGCCATTGAAGCAATTCTCTGTGACCTCAACCCCGTTTCTTCTATTTGATTTCGCTCACTGTTGCCAGGCATTGACACAAATGCTAGGCATCAAATCCATAATTTTTGTATTATAGTTCTTGCATTATTGGTTATCTGTTAAGCTAAGAGAAAATTTCCTCAGAATTCTGTCAGAAGTTGATTTACCGCACCCTCCGTAAGGTTCTCCTCCTTAAAAATCAAGGTACATGCCTATGAAGCTCGACTAGTTGTCTGCAACCATTCAGACTTTGTAGCTTCTCATTAGTAGAAGAACATAGACATCCTTTAAGTAGTGATGCTATTGGTTTCAAAGCATGCAGGGACATTGAAAGGGCTATTGTTATATATTGCAAGCAAGTTCGAAAAGCCAGTTCGTTGTCAGGGCCTGTAGTGCCAGAACCTCCTTCTATAACTTTAGAGAACACATGAAAGTTGTTGGCTAGTTTCAAAGTTAAAATTTTGGTATTCTGTGCATTTGGGAGTGAGTGTATATGGAAAAGGCCCAATTTCAAGAACTGATTTTTGTATTGAGGCCACTAATTGTACCATTTGCGTTGCTCTAAAACAACCAATGGACATGATACAAAGAGTCGACATTACCTCAAGGGTTTGAAGAAAGAGTTAAAAGCAGAGGATACATTCATGACGACAAAATTGATTCAATTTTATTTTAGGCAAAAATAACTGTTTGGTTCCGGTAACGGGTTTTTGCATAGTCAAAATGGGAATCCGGGTATTCAGTTTGGTTACTAGTTTGGGTTCGTGGGTTGGGTTTTTAAACACCCCTAAACATGGTTATCAAATCGGTATCGATCGTGTATCGAAGACGTAATTTTTTGAATCGTGTACGCGTATCGTATCGTATCCTAACGATACTATTTTTCAAAAAATTAATAAATAATCAAAATTTTCTAAAATTAATATACATCCCCAGATAATTAAAAATTTTGTGATATTATTGGCTTTAAATTACGTATTACATAATCAAATTAATCACAAAATTCCAAGATCAATGTCAATATCTATATCTCCATATATTATTATTATCATGTAAAATGGGCAATACATATCTTCTTCACTTTCCCATGCAAATGGGTATAAATTTGGAACAGTTTTAGTGAAATCAAGTTGGGTGACCCGGTTTCGACCCAATTTCTTTTGGACCTTTGGCCCAATTAATAAGTACGTATCGATTTATATCGATATTTTTAAGGATACGACGGATATGTATCGTATCGTCGATACCTATCAATGTATCGAAAGGTTTAGGATACATTCTTTGATACGTATCGTTGACGACCTGTATCGAATCGTATCGTATGATACGTATCGTGTATCGTAGATAACTAACAACCATGCCCCTAAGGGCTCAAGAAATACCCAACGACCAACTAACAACACAATCATGCACTAAATTCTCCTTCCCGTCACCGTCTTGGTTTTGTACTTCATTTTTATCTTGCTCATAAACATTCGATCATATCAAACCACTTCATAATACCCAAAAAAAAAAAAAATCCAACAACTCTCTAAGTCTCGGTGCAAATTACCGGTTTCATTGGTTTCAACAACACAGTCTTCGTAGACTTTCTCGAGGAGGCGGTGGCCAGCCATGTCTCCTCGGCACGGATGTCCTCTATAAAAACAAGAGTGTTGGTGAGCGTAACGCCGTAACCAATACCAGTCGCTGTCCTAAAGCTTTGCGCTTTCTTTAGCCGCTTGTACGTAGTTTTCCCATCTAGTGAAGAAAGGCAGCTATGTGTTTATTATATCTGCAAAAACCCTAAACTAATAAGAAATATAGTGTAATAAACCCCAAACATATAATCGGGTCTGATCTTCTGGGTGTATAAAACAGACTCTTAAATGTGGGCCCACCAACAATTTTGGGTTTACTACACCCATTTCTCATTTTTCTCCCATGGACTTTAGTCAACCAGACTAGGATGGATCTGTCCTCGATTTCTGGGGACTTACCTTGCCCGGCCTTGTATGGGGTTGGGATTCCTAAAAAAAAGCAGGACAGTGGACCCTCCAAATTGAGGTCACGCCGTGCGCTCCCTTCTCTAATTGTCTTCTCTCCTCCTTTGGCTTTTCCCCAAACCCTCATTTTTACTCTTCCTAACCAAACAGAGGCTTAAACCTAATATTTCATAATTTCAACAGCCAGATGCCCTCTTTCAAAACTGCACTAACAACCAATCAATCTACTCTTCTCATCTCAATAACGATGGGTGCATCTGTCGTTGATGATGTTTATTAACTTGTGGATTATGGTATCGAAACTTGGCCGACATCCTGCTATGAGGACGAGAGAGCGACAAAGATCAATCAACTCCTTCGCGGCTATGGTGCTGGTCTAGAATGGGTGGGTTCAGATTTTGGTGGATATGGGCTACTGTGGTAGGTTCAGCGCAACGGGTGCAGCTACGGTGGTGGTTTGTAATGACGACTTGGAGGAAAACTAGAAGAGAAAAGAGATATTTATAAACAATACTGAGCCATTCCATTTTTACTATCCAGATTCAATCGGTACGGGGCAGCCGAGGAATCTTTTGGTCCCCATCCCTGTCCTTGCTTTTTGAGGAATCACTACCCTAGACGAGGCAGGGCGGGGCAGTCCTTGGAAATTTGAGGACAAATCCTATGCCTAGTTTGGTTCAGGGTTGCGATGAGAGAAAAAAGAAAAATCGGTGTACTAAACCCCGAAGTTGTTAGTGGGCCCAGACTTAAGAGTCTGTTTCACACACCTGAAGACCTAATCGATATATATTCGGGGTTTATTACACTAATATTTCTTATATAGTTTAGGTTTTAGCGATGCAGTAAACCACATAGTTGCTTTTCCTCGGTGAGAATTGGAAAGACAACGTACAAGAGGCTAAAGGAAGCCAAAATTCATACAGAGATGGTATTGGCTAGCTCGCCAATACTCCAATTCTTATATAGGACATTCGTGCGAGGAGACGTGGCCCGACCTACCCTCACGGATCTTCGTCCTCTTCCTCCTTGAGAAAGTTTGCGAGTCTTGTTGTTGAAATCAATGAAACGGGTAATTATTAATTTGCAACAAGAAAGAGTGTTGGAATTTTATTTTTTGGTATTATGGAAGTGGTTTGATATAACTGAATGTTTGTGGGCAGGTTAAAAAATGAAGTACAAATTAGGAACCGTGATGGGAGGTAGAAATTTAGTGCATGACTGTGGTTTAGTAGGTCTGTTGGGTATTTCTGGAGCCCCTAATTGTAGGGGCAGATCCAGCCCCTTTAGGCATACCTCAATTTTAAAAAAATTTCTAATATATATCCCAAAAAAAATTACTATTAATATATATACCCACCAGACCCATTCTAGATTTTGTAAAAAGAGAATTATTATACTAAGCCCATAAAATACTTAATATTAATAATATATATAATTTCAAACTCACATCATATTCAAGTTTAAAACTCTTTCCATCTTTTTCTTCACGGCTCCACTTGCTTTTTATGAGTTTATCTCTTAAATTTTTACTTTCTATTTTTCTTATGGTATTTGCTCTTAAAACTTTTAATACTGAAATTATTGAAACTTTCATTACTTAAGGTGTCAAATTAGCTCAGTTTTCAGTTTTATTGTTTTAGATATATGTATTGCTCATTTTAATTAGTTTATTTTAGATTGAATCAGCTTATTTTTTTGGAGATTTTTTTATTCTAAATGAGGAAAAAGACTTGGATCTTTGTGAGTTAATTTGTGTTTTGTATCTAAGAATGAACATGCTTTTCAAATTAAAACCTTAACATATTTTAAAGAGCGTTTATTTAACCCTTCACCCACTATTTTACTCATTTAAACATTACGTTCAGCTACTCAAAATTATAAAAAAATTAAAGTTACTATCTATGTTTATAACAAGGAAATTCTTCCCTTTTTTTTTATTAATTGATATTAAAAGTCAACACACATTAATTTAAGTTTTGGTCCGATAAAGTTATAAAAATTTATATACAATCTTTAGAAGCCAAAAATTATATATGAACGTGAATGACACTTGGTATTCAATATATTGTGCTTTGCAAGTTTTAATCTATAACGCAAGGAAGCAGGATAAAGAAAACTTCTTTGAGGGAATCCACAAGAACAGTTTTTGGGGATCTTTGGGATTACCATTGTTCTTCAAATATGACTCTAGAATATCTGAAGAGGTTTGGAGATGGAGAGAGGCTGGACTGCGGCCAAGGGATCCTGTATTGGAACTGCAGTTGCCTTTGCCAATTGGTTGGGTATCAAATGCATACCTGTCCCATAAAAATCAATTTGGGATGAAATATACAAATTAAAATGTACAGCACCACTCTTTTCAGAACTCTCCAGTGGAAGAAACGTGCTGTAAAGTATGTAAATGCATCAATATAATCTTTTATTTATTTATGTGCAAAGATGCTGCATTTCGTTATAGAGAACATGGCCGAACGCAGTAATGCGATTAGCCAGCGGCTGTTTCATCTTTTAGCTACTTTCAAGTTCAAATAACAAGATATCCCCATTAGTTTACATATATTTCGTAAGTTTCAAGCATGCGAAAAAGAGGGCACTAGGTTGGCTTATACCATACAAAAAAATCACAAGATAATTCATAAACAAGATAGTTATCATGTCACACACTTAACAGCCCATAAAAGAATTTGGCTAAGTTAATTTATCAAAACATGATTCTATAGTACAATTTTATCGAATCAAATTTGATAGTAACGAAGACCGGAACACCAATCATATTAGGAGCTCCATCATTCTAAAATTTATCTCATTACACTGTCGACATGATACATCAAAATTTCAAGTCAACAGGCATAAGAGCATCATAATATCACCCATTGAAACATCTAAGGCTGTTGGAAATAACTTTCCAAAGCAAGAAGCATGTCATCTGCTCTATAAAATCATAACATCTGCTGCTATGTGAAATAATCATGAAACCTTTCTAGCAAGGTTCTTATATCCACATCCACACATCTAGTATAACTGTCCCTGTTGATGGGATCTGGTCAATGTCAAATGTACACCAAGAAATCTCTGATGCTTCTGAGTGTTTCTATTCCATATGGCGACAGCTTTCCAACACGAACCTTCGAAACATCTGGTTCACACAATGCACAGAGAAGAAATAACAAACCCCTACAAACAGAACATAACAGCTATTAATGTCAGGTGATATAAGGGAAATATAAATAACGGAACACATCACTGAGACACACAACTTCATTTCTTTTTCCTCCTGTTTTCTTTTTCCCTCTAGTTTGTATCATAATAGGACAAAGCTAAAATGTGAGCAAATCCCACAAATTAATGCAGCCTTATACCACATTGTATGATGTTTGAAGGCACCACAAAAGTATTAAGATGCTGGCTTAACTAAGATATTTCAGCTTTATTTTGCATATAATAAACACTGCTGAAGATATATATAAGAACCCCACTTTATACTAATAGCCATAGTCATTGTCAAGCGGAACACAATGTTTTTAAGGTATATTTTTTTATGAAAGAACTCAGATTATGAAAAAAGAAGCGGAGGGAAAAACCTTTGTACTGCATCCGAAAATAGGGTGCACTTCTACTACAAAGGTAGATAGTTAGGCAATATGGCTGTTCCCAATACTTTGAGAGGATAATAGTTTAGCACTATGGCTATTCCCCATATTTTGAGAAGATAAAGCTATTCCACATTATGTAATGAGAAAGCAAGGGAAAGGAAGGTTTATGTTCTTACTATCGCATTCTTCAAGAGAAGTCCTCAAAATAAAAATAATTCAAGACAGGCTGAAAAGTTATTAGAAAAAGAAAAGGGGGATTACATCACATTAGCCTTGCTTCTTATAGAGCCAAAACTTGGAAGAAAAAAAACCAACTAGTTATCAAGGTTGAGGGGAGACATCATAAATTAGATTTAAAACAGCATGCTATATAAACAAAATGGTTTCCATCAAAAGACCATAGGACTGGAGGGATGGAAGAAGTTGAGTATAAGCCCAAAGTCATAAATGATGACTTAAGGTGCTAAATTCCTAACTCAACTTATAATTCGAATCATTCGATTCCGATCAATAGGCAAAACCCAGAAATGGAAGAGATCGTTCAGAATATTTCATCAAAATAACGAGGAAAGTCAAAAGACGTAGAGATACGGGAGTAATTTATAACACAAACCTGGTGTGTTGAGTCCACAACCCCACCTTTCTGAATCTCTTCAAGAAGAAATGAAGCAATTTCCTCACCAACATTCTCCGGCGGCGTCAACTCCTCCTTCTCATCATTATCAATTTCACCTGCTTCTCCTTGTGCATGAGATACTGCAGTATCAGCAGAAATGAAGCAACCAGAAGTAGTTTCTGCAACCAGTGAAATTCCATAACCAGGTGACCTGCCACCAAATCGCTCCTCTTGATGAGATAAGTTGTACTTAAAAATTGAAATGATTATATCAAGATTTTTAAGAAGATAATATCTACGGCAAAATGAGACCATACTTTCCAGCATGAGGACCAGCTTTATGATCAGTAAAGATGTGAACATCTGGAAGCAGACGATTGAAGATTCCACGAGCAGCATGAATCATGGTATTTTCAAACTGAGAAGACACTCTGGTCGAGTAGGTGACCCCTCTAATCCTTTTAACCATTCCTTCATCAAGCCAATTAACTGCCTGTACAAAGAAAAAGCATAAGAAAAATATACAAAATAGATAGCCTCCCATAGATTCTTATCTTTGCTTGTCAGTCTTTTTTTAATTTCATGCACTTTCCTTTACCCTCTTCTATCTTATCTTTTGCTGTTACTGTTTTCAATGCACTAAGCACCAAGGTTACACCTTGTAATCTTATGGAAAACATTCTACAGTGTACTACATTAAGATTCAACAGCTCACCGTTAACTTATCAATAACTGGAATAGTCACAAAAACTTGTCCCCCACCATGAGGTGGAGATCCACGACTCTCTATTTTCAGCCCCAATCCTTCAGAAGGAACTCCAAAGCGCTTCAACATGGATAAGGTAGTTGAACGGAAAGTATCAACACATGGGTCCTTAAAATCATTCGTGATTCCTGAAACAAAAAATAATATTACTTGCAGAAACACCATTTCAGTGACAAATACCACTCAACATGTGATTTACAGCACGAGACATATATCCACACACATTGATTCAAGTTCCAGGTAAAGATTACGAGTAGAAGGTAAAATATAAATGGTGCTTTAGGTCTTGAAATTTCTATAAGTTTAAACTCTATCCCTTACGTTTTGACAAACTTTATAGTGTCTGATTATCTGTGTCAGAATATCAAGTAAAAGAGATATGATTACTGCATCCATAACTAAGATAAAGTCTAGGGTGGATGTATTTGTAAGTTAACCTTGACATATGAAGCAACATCTAGAAATTTGTTCAATGAAAAATACAAAAATAAAATACAATATAGACACCTGCACAATCTCTAATTTCATTAAAGAGCATGTGTTTATAGCTCTTAAACGCCTTGGGGTTGTTGAAAGATCATAACAATTTACATGGAATGAATGTCTTAAAAAATCATGGAACAATTTGCTGTCCACACTAATTTAATGCACAACCTATCTCTTTCACTCATTATATTTTAGACAAATAATCCTTAAATTTTAAAATTTCACAACAAAGAAAAGAATAGAGTTTAAACTTAAAAAAATTGCCTACAAAAAAAATCCATAATTGAACTTCTTCCTCTTACGCAGCAACTAAACTTCACTTTGGAACTCTAGGATTCCACAAACTCATTTGTCGTCCCCTTCGATATATATCAAGGAGTATGTGTTTATATACCTTCATTTAATTAAAAAGGAAAACAAGAAGATGGTGGGTATAAATCAAAGCAAAAGTTCCCATCTCCAAAGTAACCTTTGCATTCTTTCTAATATAGAGTGAATTTTAACACTATAGAGGACCTTTCATAAACCCACATATTTCTATCACAACAAAGTAGTTTGACATGTTGCTATAAATCTAATCTAAGAATAGCAATTAAATCAAAAGCATAACAAACATTCAAAAACAAAATAGGAAAAATGAATACCTTTGAGCATTATTGAAATCGGTTTCTTCGCAAACAACCCAATTACAATCAGGGGCTCCAAGAAATACCCAATAGACCTACTAACACCACAGTCATGCACTAAATTTCTACCTCCCATCACTGTTCCCGGTTTGTACTTCATTTTTGAACCTGCCCATAAACATTCAATCATATCAAACCGCTTCCATAATACCCAAAAAAAAATAAAAAACCAACAAACCTCTCAGTGCAAATTAATAATTACCCGTTTCATTGATTTCAACAACACAATCATCGCAGACTTTCTCGAGGAGGCGGAGGAGGGAGACCTCGTGAGGGCGGAGGCCAGGCCACGTCTCCTCGGAACGGATGTCCTCTATAAGAACGGGAGTATTGGCGAGCGTAGCCAATACCAGTCTCTGTCTGAAGCTCTGGCTACCCTTTAGCCTCTTGTACGTTGTCTTCCCCATTCTCACTCAAAAAAGGCAGATATGTGGTGTATTGTATTACACTCCGAAATTCAATTAAAAGTTATACCTTCACATAATAAGTCGAAATTACTTCAGAACTACATTAACAATTACAAAAATCAATAATCCAAACTTATGAATATTCAGTTGAACTCCAACGATTCGCATAACCCTAAAATTTGACTACAAGGTAATATGATCTGTGCTAATTAATTCTTAAATCACCAGTAACAAGCAGTTCATCTCATTAATTTTTTTCAGTACCCCTTATTGTTCTTTTTCTTTCCTCAAGTTTCTACGCAGCCAAACGATGATAACAGCTAATTGAAACTGAAAATCGAATTAAAAAAGATTATAGAGACTTACCTGTGCTTAGTATTGGGGATCCGAGACCGTTTGTCCACGTGGTGGTTAGTATTGGGGATCACGCAACCGGCGATTCGGCGTCTGCCGAGGCGTGGCGGCGTCGACCGTGGTTAGGGTTAGGGTTTGGTAATGAAATTGAATTTTTGTAATGAAACTGTAATGTCGGCTCTTGCTAAATGGGTTTTGACTAATTTTGTTTTCTTTTGTTTTTTGTTGTTTTTTTTTTTTTTTAATTAAATAAATTATTTTAATTAATTTAATATTAATTAATGTTTAACTGCTGATGTAATAATAATTAATTAATTTATACCAGCCAAAGTTGAAGAACTGAATAGCAGGTTTCTCTTGAAACACACATGTCCTATCCAGGCCTGCAATCGAATCGAACACAAACGAACAGTCCCGTTTGAAACTCGTTCAATAACCATGTTCGATTGTTCGATTTTGTGTTCGAACTCAAACGAACACAAGATGACTGTTCGTGTTCGTTCGATTAACAAAAGGTCAGTTCGTGTTCGTTCGACTAACTCGTAAATATTTGTTCGAATAACTCGTTCGATAACTTGTAAATACCTGTTCGAATAAAAAATATACACTAACTCGTTCGAATAACTGTTTATATATATATTTTGCATCAACACCTATAAATTCATAATGGTATGAGAGTTTATTGTAATATATGATCAACAAAAATGCGTGATTAATTTAGGTTTAATTAAGCTATTATGTTATTAAATTTGTCATGCTATATATCACTTGATTATACAATATATTATTTTCACAAATTTGTCATATTATATTTAATTAAGCTATTATATTATTAAATTTGTCATGTTATATATCACTTAATTATACAATATGTTATATTCATCAATTTACCATATTTTATTTAACTAAACTATTATATTATTAAATTTGTTATGTTATACATCACTTGATTATACAATATGTTATGTTCATCAATTTACCATACCATATTTATTATTTATTAATTGAAATGTTATCTTATAATATTTAATTATTGATTACATTTGAAAAAATACGAAGCAATTATGTCATTGGATTTATTATATTATATATCACTTGATTATACAATCTATTATGTTATTAAATTTGTTATAATAATTTATTACTTTTTAATTAAAATGTTATATACATATATATTTAATTATTGATGACATTCGGAAAAAAAAATCCAAACATATTATATATATAAGAAAAACAAAAGTATCATAATATTTTATTATTGATTACCATTAAAAAAAATTCATCCAAACTAAACCAAATATAATATAAAAAAGGAAAAAAANTATCACTGCCTAATGTCATTCTGTTCTCTCTATCCTTAGCTGTGATTGCTTCTACAACCTCTTCTAATTTAAGTGTCTGCCTACCATATTTTAATGTTTCTACAAAATTGGAGTAAGGTTTAGGTGGGGAATTTAGAAGAATTACAGCCTGATCTTCATTATCAACCTCTACTGATATGCTTTCTAAATCCTGTATAAGTTTCAGAAACTCATCCTTATTGTCTTTTAAAGATTTCTGCTCATCCATTTTAAACCCAAACAATCTTTGTTTTAAATATAATCTATTAGGAACAGCTTTAGATTGGTACAGAGAATCTAACCTGCTCCAGATCTTAGCAGCAGTTTTCTCCTTCTTTACTTCTCGCAGGACTTTGTCACCCAGTCCTAGGATCAAGGAGCTCTTAGCTTGGTTGAGCACATCCTGCTTCTCTGCTTCAGTCAAGGTGTTAGGCAGCTCAGATTCTCCTTTCAGCGCTAATGATAGTCCTTTTTTAATCAGCATAGCTTCCATTTTCATCTTCCAGAGTCCAAAATCATTGTCCCTTGTAAACTTTTCGAGTTCATATTTAGTGGACATGTTTTTGGAATAAGATTTTCAATGATAGAAAATGAATTTCAAAAAATCCTAACTCAGATTCGAACTAGGATTTACCAAAAAATCCTAACTCAGATTCGAACTAGGCTCTGATACCAATTTTTAGTGATACCAATTTGCATGTCTACTCGACCGAGCAAACATTCCTTATGTACAAACTCTTCATCTCTCAAATCTGAACAAACGCCTTTATGACACTTCATACCCATTCACTCGGTTCTCTCGACCAAATGGAGTGATTATCAGATGTACTATTTAACCTTGGCTTGCCGGCCTTGTGACAAACGCCGCTAAGGAAAAACACAACTTCCAATCTCTCAGTCAACCTAACTGAGTGAACTAGCCACTTGCTTGGGAGTGCGCATACAACAACTAGTTTGGATTCAACCGATTAGCCGAAGGCACCTCCACCAGAGGTATCCTAATGCATCTCCACTCGGTTCAATGTACTGAGTGGAACACACCTTAGGAGATCACACATTCTCACTTGGTTCGATGCATCGAATAGGGACACCTTCATAGGATGTTCCGCACATCCACTCACTCAGTTTGATGCATCGAGTAAGGACACTTTTAGAGAATATGTATTGCCACTCAGTTTGATGCACTGAGTAGGGACATATTCACGGATATTCGCCTCTTCCCCTCTCTTAGTTCGATGCATCGAGTGAGGTCTTCATGATCAATTCCACTTTCTCACTCGGTTAGGTATACCGAGTGACAACATGCATGTGTTTCACCTTTACCCACCACTCGATCTGGTATACAGAGTGCATCACCTACAATAGAAGTTGTACTATTCAGTTCCGCGAACCGAGAAATGTCACATTCGCATGTTCAACCAGTCGGTCATGGAGGATAACTGAGCGCTACTTCATGCAACATCTACTCTTTAAGTTAAGCACTCCTTAACTTAGAGAGTGGGGGGCAAACAGTTAGGGCCAAAAAAATGCCCCTGGTCCCGACAGGCCCTTCGACAAAGCTCAAAGCCACAACCCAATTCCGGTTGGGCCCAACACAGTGTTGACATATTGGGTCCACTCATCACACCTACCATGTTACTCACTGCTTGATCCCAATCAATAGAGATCCCGATCATCTAGGTTGGTTTACTTAGAACCCAAGGTCGCTTGCTTCCTATTTTGGTACTATCCAGATTTTACTGAAGAGATCCATGACTATCCTAATGCGTCTAAGATTCGTATCTTAGACCAAATAGGACTCCTTCTCCTACCAAGGTAAAGGAATCAAAGGCCTTCCTATTCACTAAACCTCAATTACCAAAGACTCATTGTCTTACTAGGACTCAAAGATCCTATAGCTACTATTTAAACAAAGGTTAGCCCTCTCACAATTCATTCAACATTACACCTTCTAACCCCATAGTTCTCACCCTCGAGAGCTCCATATCACTATCGTAGTTCTATTCTCTGACTAAAATTTTAGTGACCTTCTATTTCCATAACCCTCACTAAATTAGCCTTCACTCAATCTTGTTGACTTGAGCGTCAGAATACCTACGACAAACATCAGGCTAGTGTTTTCCATTCGCTTCACACCCATTTCTTTGTGTGTGTAGGTATAGTGGATTGTTAGTGGCCTCAACCTCACATGATCAGACTTTATTTCCATAACTGTAGATTTTACCATCTACACCACCCTTCACAAGTTCAATAAGAATTAGATCAAAAGATAGGATCACAATTCTTTAAAATAAAGGAAATAAAGATAAATAATCACTCTTACACAAGGACAAATAACGATAGAAAGAAAATCGATCACATGGAAAATCATATGTGAGCATATATAAATAAATCGATGAGTCCATCATTCACAACAAATGACATTTCTAATTAATACATTTGGGACAAATGGGAATAAAACTAAAAAGAAAGAGAACAAAACTTACAGTATTAATATACTTCAATAATCTACAGCAACAATCTGAAAAAATATAAACTCAATATATGTTGTACAAACATTAACATCTCCTCCAATGTCTCACCTTTTTTGGAAGTTCAACCCATTCCATACTAATCGCGAAAAGAGAGGCAAGAACAAAAGGAAAGATGAGAAGAACAACACCTTTAATAGGTAAACGATCATGATGAAAACCGAAGTAATCTTTTAAGAAGGTTGATACTTGATATGCTTTTTATTTCTCCATACATGCTAATTTTTTTGTCCATATCCCCATATTGTGATGTGATCAAACTGTTTAGCATCCAAGAAATAGAAATCAAATAATACAACCAAACCCACCATTTTGGAATTTGCTCCAAAGAAAATAAACATTTTTCAAGTCAACTTAGATGTATAGATTTAGAATTGATATGGTTCATGTACTTTTCTCAATAGATTTTAGTAGCTCACCTTTCAGGAATGAGGAATCGAAACAATAATGTTATTCTACAAACGTCTTACTACCACCATTACAAATGGACATGGTAGCTGACATGGCAAAACCACCTCATCTGCCCACATCACCAACAACCACGTCACTTCCCAACACTTACCAAAAAAATTCAAAATCCCAAAATTTGAAATCTACCCTAAACACTCCTACAATACGTTTCATTTTCAATTTCCTTAAACACACAACCCAAAAAACTCTCCCAAATTTCTTTTCAATTTTGAAAACCCTAGCCACGCATTCTCCAATCAACACCTTTCCCATGGCCCACCACACCACACCAGGTTTCCTGCCTCCACTCATCATTTTCTCCCATCTCCCCACACCACCACCACTAGCACCACAATCTCATGGCCCCAACGAAAACCACCCTAAATGGTTGTCACTTCCCTCCCGACTTTGACTTTGCTTACATTTTTTGTTTTTATTTTCTTTACACATCTTGCAAATTCTCTTCTGGGTTTGTCTTTTTTTTTTTTAAATGAATGCACCTTAATCTCATCTGGGTATATTTTTATCAAGCCAGATGTTTATCATTCTTATATTATATTATTATTATATTATTATTATTGCAAGAGAACAAGCGGAAAAATATGAAGCTGCATTTATGGGAACTAGCTTTTTCACCCAACACTGTCTTCAATTCCAACCCAGTTCTTCTTCCAACGCTCTATAATTTTGGATTTGATTTTTGTTGGATATTTATTGGCTTCGATTTGATTTTAGTAACAATACTTTTAAGTCTATTGTTAGTTTGCTGTCCAATTTTGAGTTTAACAGGAAGATGTGTAGGCCAACTATTTTAAGATGATTATGTTTTTTTATTTGGGTTTCGGTTTTTTTTGTGTTTT